AATGCTTGTTCCACGGGATTTGGGAAGACCATAGTTGTCGAACTTTGACATCTACAACACGGGAGAAAACGAATTCAAGTTAGTTGATTGATTGAGACCTTAGTAAATCACCCAAATGAGATACTAAGGCAAGGACCCATCACAATATTCTACAACTCGGGAGAGGGATGTCGTAACCCAAATTGCAGAACATTTAAAGGTAAGTGAATGACGATTCACTAATTCCCACCATGAAAAAACGAAAAAGAAATTTAAGTTTTAAATCTATGAAAACTCCTAGATCCTTTGAAATTCATTGAAAATTTCAATGGCATGTTTAAATCTCGATATGCCCCTCTTGTTTGTGACTGAGATGCCGAGGATCACAAAGCGGGTGTGAATAACCATGCAAATTTATATGGTGCCCTCACATGTTACAGTCACCTATTCGATGTGCCGGTAAACCACACACGCTCCACTAACGTCTTCGCAAGGGCACAAAGTGTAATTTCATGGAATTTCATCAATTCACTTTCCCTAAGTAACTAAGATTGGGAATTTGAAAAACATTTAGTTACTTTTGTACTTCATCATACTTATAATGGAAGGTTTCGTCCTATCCTACCCGTTCGGCTAACGACCCTCCACTAGTCAAGAGTGCGGTGGGTAAGGGTGGATACCCATTCAATCGCCATATTATAGGTAATTTCCTTAAACACCTCTTATAGACCAGCTTCGTGAATGAGGCTTACTAACGGTAAGACTGACTTTTACTCATACATATATATAATGTTAGACTTTTAATGTTATATATAGTATAGGGTGTCTTTTACACTTTTAAATACTAGGTGGTCAAATTTAACAATTATACTTTTAATTCAATTAAATTGTAAACCTAAACTTTTATGGATTTATTAAACCTCTTTTAATTATACACCTTAATTAATTAATAAAACCACAAGGGTGTGATTTGAACTTTTCAAAACATTACTAGGATTTTAGAATTTAACATACCTAATTAAACCTTTTAATCAACTTTTAAATTCCAAAACTTGAGGGCAAGTTTTGAAGCATTTAGAAACATTAGGGTTAGAATTTAAATATATATCAAAATTAAACTATTAATCAAAATTAAAATTCCAAAACTTGAGGGCAAGTTTTGAAACCTTTTTTCAAAACATTAGGGTTTCAACTATTTAAATTTCAAAACAACAAAACTTTTGGGTTCAAATTTAAACTATAAAACCTAAAGGGGAAAATATGAAACTTTTCATAATAACAAGGATCAAATAACAAATAATCTTAATTAACATTTAATCACATAATTATCCATATTTGATTTATTTAATGATTTCTTGCAAAAAAATTTACCAATTTAATCAAAATAATTAATCAATTATCACATAAGGAAACAAATATTTTTTTAATTGATAAATATATTTAACTAGATCAAGAATATAGTCAAATATATCATAAAATTGGATTTATATTGATCTAATATGATAAGGAAACTATCCTTAAGCAAAAACAGCAAGAAATCCCGGTTTTCCCTCCATTCGACCAGCCAACTCGCCGAGTTAGGTATGGACTTGTCGAGTCAACATGAAGTCGGCGAGTTCATCTATGGACTCGACGAGTCCAGCCCCCAGAAACACAAAAATCGAATTTTTCAATCATACAAAGCATCAATACAATAGAAACCAATCTAGGCTTTGATACCACTGATGAGTTTTGGTCATACGAACATCCTATGTGCTCATACAAACCCTAATGCTTGGATCTAGGTTTCTCTATTGTACATGCAAGTTATCCAAGACTATAAACCCTAATTCTAGCATTCAAGTAATCAAATTAACATGAGAATAGGTTTAAGATCATACCTTGATTGTTATGTAGCAATAACAATCTCAATTCCTCCTTGTATTGACTTTAGAAAGCTTAGAGTCACAAATGTCACTCCTCTAATGGTTCACAAACACCAAAAGCAAGAGGATGAAGATGAGAGAGGAAGGAGGCTGCCCTAAAAGGTGTGAAACCCTAGAAGGATGGTTAGCCTCGTTTTTGGGTCATAAGGGATGTATATATAGTTACGCTATTAGGGTTATCTAACAAGGAAACCCTAATTTGGATGCTTAAGCCCTAAGCAACCCATGGACCCCCTTTCCTTAAGGCCTTGGACGATTTCTCATGGGTTTCCCCATAGAATTCGTCCACCCCTTAATATAAGGCAATCCATAGCCCAAATTGCAATTATCTTATAGTTACAATTCCAGTCCCTTAAGTTTAATTAATCTCTTTTAGTCACAAAACTAATTACCAATTAATTATTGAGTAATATTAATTAAACAATATGATTTCTCCTTTAATATATTATTCTCATAATATATTAATAAATCATATTTAATCCTTTCTCTCCATAATTCATCCTATCAAGTTGCTTTGGTGAAGGCAACCTAAAAGGACCATGCACCATCGGGTCAAGTACATACCAAAATAGTTATGGACTTAGACACTAATCCAATACCAAATTTCTATAAGTTATAACCAGAGTCCCTTTTAGGGAGAGTTTGATAATTGTGTATAGATCTATATTGGGTTTGACACCCCACACCTTGCTGCTAACTACAGTGGGACCGACAGGTCTACGGGTGACAAGAGTCATAGTATCTTAACCTCTGAAACACGTTGTGCAGGTTATTTCTAGTCATAGTATGGTTATAGCGACTCACATAGGTAGTTAACAATCTTTCAAGTTTACAAGGAAACTTTTACCTTAAAAAGGGTTTACCTCTAAATCAAACGAATTTATTTCGATTTAAACTTACATGAAGTATTTTAAGTATGGAAAAATACTTGTTCATTTTTAGTCCTGAGATTTAGGGTTACATAACTTTTATAAGGAAAATATTGGATTTTATTTGGAACAGATTCTATTAACACTACATCTCGTCTAGAATTGTTAGACTACAACAGTTCATTTAACTCAATTTATATATAACTTATATACGCTGAGTGATCATAGAAGAAATCTAAGGGTTCTTCTAGAATTTATTATCGCATAACATTGGAGCATTCATTCCACACTTAACTAAGAAAATATTGGATTTTCTGGAAATCATACCCTATCGCTTTTACAAGGAAAACGGTTTCTACGTCAAACAAAACTCTCATGAACTCACCAACTTAATTGTTGACACTTTTTCAAAACTACTTGTATTCTCAGGAAATCAGGGAAATAGGAAAACAAACAGCATTTTGAGGATGGGACGATAAATCGTCAAACAGTACATTTTGTCAACATAATGTAATGGATTTGAATCATGTGAACATATACTTTGGTATAACTTTTTTTCAATTATATTTATGATGGTTGTATTTACTCTGAGCACTATGATACTCGTTGTTGTGATACTATACATGAAGTCCTCCACCCTCGGACATTTCCGCTATCCTTGGTTTGGGGTGTGACAGTTGAGCTGATATTCGGAGCTGTGTCCTGTTCAGAGATCTTTCAGACTAAGAGGTAAGTTTTCCATCACTATACTTGTGGGTCGAATGAGCCAATTTCAACCCACTAAGTTTTGTATCCTAGTATATAGGATGATGTTATGTTGGTTATATGACAGATTAGTAGATTTTTATGTGATACGTTTAGGTAGAAAAAATAAACTAGAAAAAACAATTCCTAAGTTCACATACAACCTGCTTTTGATCTATGTTTTAACTATTTAACATATAACTTGAATTTCAAAATAAGAACTCTAAGAGAGGAGGCTATTTTCGAAATTAACCAATTAGGGTTTTAGAGTTACATACCTTTCAATTGTTATAGTAAAGAATTGGTAATCCTTTTGATCTTGGTCTTCTTGGAAGCTTAGCGCCACAAATGCAATGCCTCTAATGGAATCACACCCAAGAACTAGCAAGAAGGAAACTTATGAGGAGAGAGGCTAGGGTATGCAATTTTCAGCCTAGGGTTTCTTCAAAAAAAGGAGTGACCGATTTTGGGAGCCAGAGGCCTCCTTATATAGCTGAGGTGGCTAGGGTTCAGGGAAAAGCCTAATGTTCATTTAGTTTGGGTCTAAGCTTATCTACATGCCTTATCCAATCCCCTTAGACGAAATCATTAGGGTTTCACCTATAGATTTCACCCCCTTCCAAGGAGGTTTTGGAACCTTCCACTCAACTATTAGAAAATTGCAAATTAGTCCCTGCACTTTATAATCAATACAATTAACCCTAAAATCATTTCTAATTAATTTCTAGATAACTATTAATTAAACATTATGATTTCTTTTTAGTATATTAATCTTTTAACATATTAATAAATCATTTATATTAATTTATTAATCTCATAATAAATTAATATTTCTGCTTTCAAAATTTCCTTATCCAGTTGCTAGGTTTGAGGGAAACCTAAAATGATTGTGCTGCTATCAATTCAAATACATACCAATTATAGTTATAAGCTTAGACACCTAATCCAACAATCTCCCACTTGGATAATTCCGTAACTATAATTGCTAGTATGACTTCTAAATCGACCAACAAATTGTAGCTTCCAAAAGCTGTTGTCGAACTCTGACCCAGTTAGTCACGTGTCCTAAGATAAGTGATCATATAATCGTTCGTTCTGCAAGATATTCCTAGACACAAGACATGGAATGTAATCAATCTCTTCGTCCAGAATCTATGTTTCCTGATTTCTGATTTGCTATGATATAGGGCTTCTAATTGAACACAATAATTTAGTTCTGGCTGGGCCTAGACATAATTCAACACCAAATCATCGAGGGGCCCACATATATCGCTTTTCCCGTTAGAATGTTTTGTCTTAAACTGAAACTTTTCTATGGTTGCTTTAAGACTCAAAGCAAATATTAATTGTTGTTTGTTATCATACGTTTGACGAACAAACATATCATCATTTGTACCTAAACTGTGAAATGGTTCAGGTTCAACAATAGGATCAGGACAATCAGGTATGAGAGGCATATCGTAAAAGATGTATGAAGCTTTTTTCAGTGTGTGAACTCATCTTCTAACCAACCTTGATTTGACTCTTCATCGTCTAACAAAGTTTTGTCACATAGTCTTCCAAACTCATATAAATTTTCTTCTTCCACTGTATTCACTGCCACAGTTTCTTCTTGTGGACACTCTTCAACATTATCAGATACAATGTTTTCAACATTGTAGGGTACAATCTTGTCAACAGCTTCTGTTTGTTTGACCATTCCCTCAAATACCTCCAAATACAAATGCACAATCTCCTTCGTTTTAGAAATTCCATTTATGAGTTGATGAACATCTGCTTCTTCTACAATATTCATAACATACTCATGAACCGGATGTTGAAATGACAATGATATATTACTATTGAACGCATTAGCTTTACTTTGACCAAATCAAACAATATTCGACGGTCAAAATTTGGCGGAAGCAGTAAACCTAAGTTTGACAACTTTGCTCTAACGTATGTGTTAATCTCATTACTGATCTGCCAAAAACTCCCGTACATAAAATAACAAAACTTATATTTTCTTTGAAAACAAATTTCTAATACTAAAACCGATCTAATATTGCAAATGAATCTAAAAATGAAAAAACCGTTTATATCACAAAAATTGTCGCTAAAAGTATTGCAATCACCCATTCCGCAGAGACTTTAAGGTCTTCGCGGAGCACCGAGTCACCTCCTCTGCAGAGGTTTTAATCACCATCCAAACGAATTCCTCCGCAGAAGACTTAATGTCTCCGCGAAGATATCTATACAGACTACTATTACTTTAATAAAAAATTACAAAACTTAACATATCCGGAGGATTCATGATTCGGCGGAGGTCCGCAGGGGATCCACCGCCGGAACATATGTGTATATTAATTACTTCAAATAAAAACATATTTTGCCAGATAAAAATATGCATTTGCCAAGCGCCGTTTTACTGTTTTCCACTTTTGTGCCAGTTTAAAAACCCTCCAAACTCACGCCATTGGATCACCGATTGTCATATCTCTCTCTCTCTATCTCTCTCTCCTGATGACAAACCCCGTTGTCGAGTCATCGGAGGAAGAAGCGCTGTGCAGGTCCTACCCATACGCTGCCCTATACTTCGTCCAAAGTCCCACCACCACCGTCTCCCACTACAACCACGATGTAATCTCATTCCATTCACCAGCCACCCAACGCCGACTCACCCTCTCTCATTACTCCTCATCCCGAGGATCCACCAACTCTTTTTTGCATGACAAGAAGATCCCTTATGGTCCTCAAGAAAGCCCCGACCACGATGCTGTAGAGAGGGTGGTGGTAAAAATGGGAGAAAAGTGCTCTGTTTTCGTTGGTGGTGACAATGTACATGGTGCTGGTGCTCGTGGCTGCAATGGGGAGGAAAGTGAGGAGGAATTACAGAAGGGTTTTGGAAAGAAGATGTGGGATCTTGTATCTTTTTCACACTCTGATTCATGTGTATGGATATTGTTTCAGATAAGCTTGAGGGTTATAGTGAGCTTTGGAGTTGCTTTACTTTTCTTCTATCTCATTACTAAGCCTCCTCCTCCCGATATCTCTGTTAAGGTAATTTTCTTTCTTTGGAGTTCCTTTTTTTTTTTTTTTTTTTTTTTTTTTTTTTTTTTTAAGTTAATATTCATGAAACAGTTCAAGCCTTACGTTCACATTAATGAAATTTCAAGGATTGAAATCATTGTCGCTGTTTTTGAAAAATATATCCTTGCTATTTGTTATTGCGGTTTGCACTAGCCAGCATGAAATGTAAATCGAAAAACAACAAAATTCAAAGAAATATACTTCGCTTTAATTTGAACTCAAAATTCGGCTACATTTCGCTTCTTCAAAATTTTAAGGTAATTTCTATATTTACAGTCAATGTAGTGTACAAGTGTAATAGTGTTTGTCCATCTTTGATGTGACCATGTATGTGAATGAATAATACTTCTAACACACAACCTTTTTTTAAATAGATAATTTTAAAATAAACTTTTGAAAAATATAAATGAATGATTAAAAAAACAAAATAAACGGTATTTAAATTTCAATTTAATTCGGTCATCAAACTCAACGAGAATTTTGAGAAAAAATCTGTAATTAATCTTTCTACGAATAGCAGATTCATATAAATCTTATGTGAACGGTATTGTACTCGAGTTTTAATTTAAATGAACAACTATTTGTTATGATTTAGCATTTTTTTTTGAATTTCTATATTTTTTAATTTTGATAGTACGTATTGATAAATTTTATACTCAATTTATATTCTTAATTATATTAAACACACGTTTTCGAAATTTAAGTACATTATTTTATTAATTCCAGTTATCAAGAAATAGAAAAA